AATGCAGGGCACTCGGCCTGGCTTCTGACCCACAGGAAGTGTGCCTTAATTACAGAGCGCTCACTGGAACTCAGGTGCTAGGAAGACGCCTATGACTTCACTCAGGTGATTCTCACATCCATCGTCAGCCAAAGCATTTTCTGTAAATTTTACTCCCCGGTCCAGTCAGCTTTAGACAGAACAGAGCACTGACCCTGGGGGCTTGTCCACGACTGGGTGGAAACAGAAGATTCCCAGCTGGACATGAGCCTGGTGTGTCTGAGGATGCATGTCCACAGGGGGTGTGAGGCCAGGTGTGAAGGCCACCATTCTGTCCCACTTGAAGCTCCTTGGGGGTCTCACACCCTGTGCGATGTCTCCCAGCTCCACAAGTCCTGCTGTGTCAATGAATCGCTTCAGGCCCTGTGCTGTTTCTCCCCTTCCCTGACACTCATGCCTTTGTTGATTTAGCAGTGCCAGAGCATGAATTTTTAAAGCCATATTTGAAAATGAACTTGAGTATGCTAACATGATACCACATTTTCTATCACAGCCTAATTTAGCTCACAACCCACTGTCCTCTAAGAAGCTGTTTTAATCTTACTTTTCTTGATTCTCCTGCTGTGGAGGCACATTCAGTTTTCTAGAGAGGTGCTCTGAGACCAAGTGAAAGGATTTGCAAGGAATTCTAAAATGCATTCCTCTGCCCTGGAAGGCTGGATTAGCACCTGGCCCAGTGCAGGCTGGCAGAGCCTGAAGTTCTGCACAGCAGGCACTGGGAGATGCACAGTGCCAGGCTCACAGGGCTTGGCCCAAGCCTCAGTTTCTCTATGACATGGTTTTTCTTGGAAACTACCCCAAACTTCATCCCCCATATCATGGGTAGGTCAGTGCTGCAGGATGTGGACAAGGGCATGTGGACCTGCGGATAAAGAGAAAAGCAAGTAGAAACAAAACCAAAATGGCAGACCAGCCCTGAGATACCTACCAACATCCAATCAAGGAGCAGAGATTGTGACATAGACTAACAAACAAGACCCAACTAATGGTGACTATGGAAAGACGGCTTCCCACGTAGCAGTGCAGATGGTGTGTAAGTTGAAGGACACACAGAGCTACCTCATAGGGCAGTGCTCAGAGGAAATCAGGGGTGGCTATGTCATCAGATCCAGCAGACTCCAGAGCAAAGACAACCACCAGGTTCTAAAGAGGCCTTCAGAGCAATGACAGGGTCGGTCAGCCAAGGAGACCTAGCCATCCAGATGTGGGTTCACCAAAGGACAGAGCCACAAAACCTGATAGAGAAACTGATGGAACTGAGAAATAGACATGTCTACAACTATAGCTGGAGATGCCTACGCCCTTCCACCCAGATAGGTAAGAAGAACTTAGCACCACCCACCGCCATCAGGCCAGGATGAGCACTTACCCAGCTGCAACAGACCACACCCAGGCCTTAAGCAAAGCAGGACAAATGTATATGGATTGAAATTGCTCAAGGTATGTTCTGTAACCACAGTGGAAAAAAATCAGCAATCAGCAACCGAAAGATAATAGGGAAGTCTCCAAAAGCTGGGAAACAACACATTTCTAAGTCGTCAGCGTGTCTCTCAATACAAATCAAAAGGGTTCTTTGTAAACACCATTAAGGAAAAACTGACAAAGGAAGTGGGGGAGAAAAGGAGAGAAGATGCATACTGCAGTCCCAGAACTGAAGCAGGTTATCACTGCAGCCTGCAGCTGTGCAAGGGCCCCGTGGCAACACCACGTGGAGCTGTACACCTAAGCTAAAAGGAGACCGATTGGCAGAGTGACTAAGACACTGAATTTGTAACTTTAAAAATCCCCAAAAGAAACATTTAGCCTAGAGCAAACACTTAGAATTAAGACCAGTTATTCACAATCTTTTCCAGAGGAGAAGGGCAGGGGGAACATTCATTTTCTGCAGCTAGCATTACCCTAAATCAAAGCCCAAAACACCACAAGAAAGGAAACTGAGCACCAACAGGCCATATGCACGTTCAAATTCTGCAGCAGGACACCAGCATGATGTGCCCCTGAGGTTGCCTTCTGTGAGGGAGTCCAGTGCCTTTGCTTGTTGCTTGTGCTAGTTTACTTTGACTGTCTGTCTGCCTGTCTGTCTATTCAGACAGGGTCTCACTATGTAGTCCAGACTGACCTTGAACTCACCATCCTCCTGCCTCCGACTCTCTGGGCTGGGATTACAGGTGGAGACCCCACATACAGCTTAGTGTTTGCTCTGTCAACACCATTTCCTACCTGGACACAAGCCATTGCAGTGGGGTGACTATGGGATCTGAGGCTGACAAGGTGCCCTGACATCCTCATGGTGTCCAGAACACAGAGGAGAAAGCAGTTTTTCCACTGGCATTCTGGGTTGTCTCTGTTTGGGGTTTTCTTTTAACTCCCCAGGTAGCTCTTTGCTGGGGTTTTCCATGGTTTCCTTACACACGGGCTGCTCTCTGCTGCTGACTTTGGCTCATTCTATCCAAAACTGACCTTCATAGCCATGCATTCTGAGCTTCTGTTAAGACTTCCTTCACATTTTTCACATAAATTTTCTGACACTCTCTGACAACTTATTTTAAATTGCAGGCAGGTGTTGAGGGAGGCACTTAGTTCTTCTTTCCTGAGCTCATTAATTTATTCAAATGGCTTTGTTGGTTGCCCAGAGCGGGGGTCAGCAATTGAGCACTTTTCTGTGGGTCACCACAGATAGAGTCCAATCAGACAAGACACGTCCCCCTCCTCTGTCACCCCCGTAAGTATTCATGGGACATTTGCCCATGATTTTAGCAGTAAATCTGTTACCTAAGACATCGTTCCTGTGGCCTCAATACCTTGGATAATTTTAAACATGCCCTATGAATGTTCTCCCCAGCAGGTAAATGAAAATATTTAAATTGCTAACTTTATTTAAAATTGTGAGCAGTTTACAAGGATGTCTTTAAAGAATCTGATGCCCACAAATGCTCTGTGATTCCCCATGCCATGGGGAATGGACCATGAAGCCAACGCTGCCCAGAGGACTTTGAGCACAGGTGTCAACCTGAGTTTGTTCCACTGTACTGAGAGAATAAACACAAAAGGAGCATAGCATCTGTTCACTGAACAGAAAGAGCTGTGCTCACAGCTTATGACGTGACTGTGCCCAGCACAGCAGTAACGGGGAGCCTTGGACCTTAAATATCACCCAGTTCCTAAACTCTGCATCTGGATGCCACTGAATGACTGAAAATGAGATTCTGCATGGCCAGAGCCTCTCTACACAAAGCCTTTCCTCTGTATTCTCTAATCTGCCTGACATGGTGCTCTGGCACCTTCTGAAACAGCTTCTGTTCTCCAGGGGTCCAGTGGAAGATGGGCGGGCAGCTGGGATGGGATAATACTGTGTGTGAATTGCCACCCGCTGTGTTCACTGCGCTCACAGTTCTCTGGCTCCCTTGTCAGCTATGACTTAGGCTGCACAGAACACAGCAGTTGTCCAGGAATATTTTATCACAGGTTCATAACTGCAGGATTTGTTTTTACTTTATTTGATGCGACTGGGTTTTGAACTCCGGGCTTTGCTTTGAACTCCGGGCTTTGCACTTCAAGAGCTGGTGCTCTACAGCTTGAGCCACACCTCCAGCCCATTTGGCTGTGGTTATTTTGGAGATAGGGATCTTGCAATCTATTTGCCCATCCTGGCCTCCAACTGTGACCCTACTGGTCTCAGCCTCCCCAGAAGCTAGGATTACAAGTGTGACCCACGGCACCTGGCTGATGCCTGGAAACTGAGTAGCTTTCAAAGCCAGGCCATGAGAACACTAATTATCGTGGACTTTCACTTGTGATCCCAGCGGTTCCCTCCATGTAGGTCAAGTTCAGAGAAGGTGGGAGGAGGAAGGGTAGGGATGGAGTGCAGCTCTTACCAAGGTCTGCATTACTTGGTCACAGAGGATTCAGTTGGCACCTTCTGTGTGCATGATGCCTGGAGGCAGCCTGGAAGCCTGGCAGTCAGGAGGCCATGTGAAGGCTGAGCTAGGGCAGGCATGTTCTGACCTGGTGGACAGGCTCCCACCTCCCAGGCCTTCTTGCTGCATTCTGAGAGTAAGGCACACAGAATGGAGCCAGTATGCAGACAGCCTCACCAGGAATCACTGACAGATTTGAACAACATACAGGACATTTGTCCAGTTATTAGGAAAAGGCTGCAGCAAAATGAGATGAGTGGCAGAGCCAGGCACAGGGGTGGTATCTAGGAACCACGTGTGCAGCATAAAGTACAGTGCGTGCAGGTGTGAGAAGGGCTCCTGCTGACTTTCCAGCGCTGGACGTGAGAGCCTGTGTGCACGTGTGTGTGCACCCACGTGGGTGAGAGATGGGGAGAGAATCAAGCCCCAGCCTCCTGGGAAGGGAGCTGTGTGGGGTGGATCCACAAGGTGCCTGGATTCTCCCACTCACGAAGGTTGCAGTCTCCTCTGAATGGGGGAACACCCCTGCCCAGTGTTTGGAGCACACGGTTCTCTCTGTTGTGCATTTTGGGTGGTGTCACTGCTGTTCCAGCTACATAAGTGTCATCTTGAACTGTGGAGCTCTGCAGAGTGTCTCCCAGGACAGCCATGTCTGGAACACACCCACAGGTCATGGGGACCCCCATCTAAATTGCATATGAGTTGCCCAGCAATGTGAGGAGCTCATGAAAAAGAAAGCTTAGGAACCCAGTGACCGTTTTCAGAAACACTTTGGAGAATAAAGATTTGTTGGGCTGTTACATTTGTTTGCTTTTAGTTAAAGGGACACATATAAAGATGTCTTTTTTCTGTCTAAAAACAAAAAGCAAGAAAGAACCCCCTGTGTTCAGGGAGTGACCCTGGGTCCTCCATTGGTTCTACATCCTTTGCACATTAGGACTTAAAAAAAAATCATTTGACTAAAGGGGGGGTTAATATTAAAAGTACCTGAAGTTTAACATTACTGTTAAAGAACATTTTCTCAAAGTCAGTGCTCTCTTCCAGTCAAAAACATACATGTGCAGCTGGCAAGGAGAAGCACTGTGGTTCACGGTGGATTTCGCGCTGGGGTTCACCTGCTTTGACAGCAAGATGAAGGTAAGTCGCAGCGCAGCCCCTGCCTGCCACCACCAGAGTGCTTTTAGCTTCATATCATAGCATGCTAACACGCACGTGTCTGAGAATAGCCACCAACAGTGGCCAGTGTGCATCGCACCTGTTCATAACCTGCCTTTCTCCTGATAGCTCAGGGTGTCCACCAGCCCCAGAATCCACACAGAGACACACCAACCTGAGTGGTGTTTGGTGACCACATGTCACATCAATGGGCAGGGATGTGGTGGTAAGGAAGGGGAGGGTTTCTTGATCCTACTCAGGGAAGGACACACAACACTAAAATAAACATGTTGAAAAGAATGTGGACTGTTGCCTGCTAAAATCCTACACGCTTTTACTAACAGAAATTCAGCCTCTTACAGGGTAGAAATTGTCCACACAGAGAGCGCTCCCCTGATTCCAGGTTTACCTGTTAAAGACGCCAATGTGAGTGAGCAAGGGGAGATACTGCCATTTCCAAGAGCATCCAAATGGTCACCTAGCTACAGAAGTGTTTGCCAAAGATAAAGCCATTATTTTGTCATTTATACATATATATATATATATATATGTATATATATATATATATTTTTTTTTTTTTTTTACGGTACTGGGTTTAACTCATGGCCTACACTTTGAGCCACTCCACCAGCCCTTTTCCGTGATGGGTTTTTTCAAGATATGGTCACATGAACTAACTGCCTGGGCTGGCTTTGAACCGCAGTCCTCCTGACCTCTGCCTCCTGAGTAGCTGGGATTACAGATGTGAGCCACTGGCGCCCATTAATATTTCTAAACATCTGTCCTGTGTGCCAATTGAGAAGGGGTGAAGTGGGAAGGCGCTCACATGATGAGTGCAGTTGTTCACAAACAAAGTGTCATTGAGGTCTACAGTCCCCACCCAGGCAGCACCCTGTGCGCAGACGACGGGGCTCTCAGACATGGCGAAAGTGATTTCCACAGGGGCTGGAGCAGTAACGGGATTGCGGTCTCACCTTGGGTGCTCCGGGGTGCCTTCCATGCAGGGGTAACACAGACGAATGTCTTTATCAGCAGGCCTGGACTCTTGTGGTAGGTGCAGCTGCAAATCCACAGGTTTTGGGGAGCTCGGGTGGGCTTGGGGGTTTTCCTGCTTCTGTGAAGTTTCTGCTTGGTGGCAGGGCATGTGAGAGACTCCATTTTAGTCTGGTCTTTGAGGCCTCACGCCCCAGCTTAGGTCCACTCTGAGTGAGTGAAGCCTTGTCTGAGGCTCCTGACAGTCAACCTGCATTTCCTCCTCGTGATTTCCCAACTGCTGCAGAGGAAAACCTCCGATGCTCTCTCCTGCGTGCCATCTTTGCAAGCCACTGACAAACGGGGACTGGCCTCACCTCCCTCCCATTCCACTATGCAGAGGTTCTGGCCAGGATGCGACTGTCCCCTCAGGGCACTTGGCAGTACTCCAAGTCCTTCCTCATTGTCAGGCCTTGGAGTGGAGTGGAGTTTCTGCAGTGCCCAGGGGTGCATGGTAGAGGACAGGGGTGCTGCTCAACCCCCGCCATGCACAGAACGCCGCACCACAGAGAATTGCAGGCTCCAACCTGTCGATAGTAGAGAGGTCAGCGAACCTGAGCAAAGCAGAAGCTACTTCCTCTACAGGAACCTGAGGCCCAAACGCTCACAGCAGCAACTGTCACCTCCCTCCCTTCCAGGGTCACAGTCTGGCTGCTTCCCAGTAGGGATGGAAACACACAGTGTTTATAATACTAACAAAATGTATTTGCATAAAATATGATATTAAGAAGGGATTTTGTGTCTGCATCCAAACCAAAGGCTGTCTCTGCTTTTGCCCTCTGATCAGAGCCAGTAGACAGCTTCCTGGGCCTCTCAGGTGCTCCTCCCATTGTACCTGGTCTGCCACAGGACCTAGCAAGTCCAGGACCTGTAGCCAGATCCAAGTACCCTTGCCACACGTGTCCTTCTGAGATGAGGGCACCAGCACAGCTCCTACCCTAGCGTGAAAAGAATGCTTTGCCTGCTACACATGAGACCTGCGGAGGACCTGTTTCCTGCTCACTGCTTCAGGAAACCTAACCTGAGACTCTCAAGACTTCACCTCCAGGGCAGGTGGCATGGTCCACCTAGCCACTGCTCCTGGGATGAGGTGTTTGTGTCCTCTGATGCACTTGGAAATGCCTTGGTGTGAACCATGGGCAGAGCCCTCACCTGGGAAGAGCAAAACCCAGCTACCAGCCCTGCCTTGGTTTCTGCTGTTAATTATTCAAACTCAGTCATTTCATTCCAAGTCCAGGAATCAGCACAGAGCCCACAGAGGACTGTATAAGATGACATTCTTAATTCTATGAATTGACCTCACCGTATCCACCTACCCTCCAATGCCAGGATGGGGCAGCACCTTTGGAGAGCATTGTGATGTTAGCTCTGGTCATGGTCGCCTGTAAAAGAAGCCTGGGCATTCTGCTGTCCCTCCCTGTTCCTACTGGGACACCATGGGAAGGTCCACTCAGTCTGCACAGATCACGAGAAGCAGCCTTGCACTGCAAGCCTCTGCCATTTGAGTGAGCTGATCCATGGACAGGTGCTCAGCTCTTAATACTGTGCAGAACTGCATGAGAGCCCTCCCAGCAAAGCTTCCGTTTTCTGAATTCCCCGACACTGAACTGTACCGCCAGCCTGAGCTCTTGTAACTGAACCGTACTTACCACGGCCCTTAGCAAGTGGGGTACAGTCACCAGGATGCCCAGGATGACGTCAGAATAAGCCTGGGTTTTCCCATGGGTGACGTCTCACACGCACACTCTGGCAGGACCCACACCCCGGCAGGTCCCATCCCTGACTCAGCTCCCCAGGGTCTCTGCCTGCAGGAGAGGCCTCATCATCCCTGAGTGTTGCTTGCCTGCCTCTTGTCCTGGCCACTCTCAGGCAAGTTTTTGTAAAGATCCAATTAAAGATGGCTTTTGCTCACCTGAGTGAGGCTTGCAGGCTGCAACCTCCTGACAAGTCTCCTCTGAAGGTGAATGCTTACCTTGTGCTTTTCCTGTGATTATGCCTCTGTCCTAAAAAGAACATCTTTCCCAGCTCAACCGTGAAGGGTATACCACAGGCCCTGAACTCATGAGAGACACAGGACTCAACTCTACTTGACATCGCTTCATTCTTCCGAGGCAGAACGGTGTTTGTAAGCTCAGATGGGGGTTTCAGTTATTTCCATATTGTTCTGAAATAATCGTGACGATAATTAAATAATTACTCAATGTGAAATATTTGTGAACAGTTGTGCCTTCTGTATTGGTTATGGGAAAGTCAAAACTTTTCTCAGTTATGCATATTTAGTTGGGATTTTCTGTGCTTTCATTCACAAGATAATTAGCACTTCATTACAGCCTCATGTTGCTAAATTGAACCATTTGTGAATTATTTCTGTGATCTGGCAGCAGCACTGAATAACCAAAGGCCTATGAAAAATGACTCGGACTGGGTGTACTTCTCAGTGGTGAGCACCTGCCTAGGATGCACAAGGCCATGGGTCCATCTATAGCATCACAAAAATAATCAATGTGGACTTTGATAACTGCCCAGGTTTTAGTGGACATCCTCATGTCAGTCCCCTTGGCCACACATGGTCCAATTTCACATTTCCCCATTTCTGCGCTTCCAGAGAAAGTCAATTATTCCCAAGTAGCAATCCATTCACCACCAGCTGGCCACTTTCAGCATCAACAAAGAGAAATTAAGCAGGAAAAGAAACAGGTTTGGCCACAAAAATGTTTTCTACACTGACGCTACAAATAAGACCATTATCTAAAATGTGTGTTAATTTCTAGATTGAAATTATTTTAAATCATTCAGCAAGAATAAACTAGAGCACCATTCTAGCAGCTGGAAATGGAAGGACATTGCTGCCCAAGGAGGCCAGTCCTTTGCCCACGCCCACAAGTGTCTGCAGGCCAGCTGGGATAAAGACAGTTAACTGCTAGCTTCTCTTGCTCTCGAGGGGTTGGCACTAACTGATAACCTATTTCTGTCCAGATTAAACAGAGGAGGAGAGGAAGTAGAAACAGAGGTAACACAGGGAAGGAAGTACCTAGCACTGCACATGGACATTAGGCTGACAGAACAGCAAAAGAGAAGAGTTAGGGAGACAGCAATGAGTCAAATTCCTGCTTTTACCCTCTGAGCACCTGTCACCTGAGCTTAGAAAGAGCTGCGGGACACAGAGTCAGGGAGGAAGTTTCTGTATTTACCAACTTCTTGTCACTGTGCAAAGCTAGCCCATCCCTAAGTGTGGCTTCTACTCCACCTGACATTTCCCACTCTCAGCAGCGGGCTCTGATTCTGCATTTGGCCTGGTCAATGTGGACCCTCTGAGTGCTGGGTGCTGGATTGATGCCCAGGGATCCTGGTTGTCAGGCCCAGATCTCATAACTCCACAGGTTTAAGCCTAGTGGGAAAGAACAGAAAGACCAGTGTTTTGTTTTGTTTTTGTCTTAAGAAGAATAAGGAGGAGGAGAAAGAGGGAAAAGAAGACAGGAAGGGAAAATAAGAGAAAAGAAGAAAAAAGAAAGAAGGGTTAACTTTCTGGCAGGAGAGAAGACAAGATTTGACTCTGGCCTGACTTTGAGGAAAAGGTTTTCAGCTAGCCAAGAAAGTGCCAGAAGGTATTTTCTGCTGGAACCCAAAGGGCTCCTGGTCCTGATGTCAGTGCCTCCAGCAGCCCTTGCTGGAGTCCCAGATAAGGATGCAGTGTCACTTTCATCACCAGCATTTTAAAAACCCAGAGTTGCTACAGAGGAAGTGAGCAGTGGTTATCTCTTTCACAGAGCCTGTGTTGTGAGAATGAAGTATAAACCTCGGTGTACAACACACATGAAACTGTAAACCGGCCTTTGATTACTAAGACCACAGATAAGTGTTTTCTGGTTTCCAACAAGGAGACTAAAGGTCAGGACTCCCTTCAGCCTTCAGATATCCTCCGGGATCCACCACCCATGCAAGTTCACTTCCAGTTTATAAACGCACCACAATGAGCTGTCTATCCAGCCAGCAGCACCAGACTGTGAGTGGATAGCCAGCACTTTCCAGTCTATAGGGCCCAGTTGTATTTAAGGAGGGCTCAGAGTCTGGAAATTAAACTGCTACCCAGACCTCTTTCAGGGAAAGCCCGTAGAAATAGCACCACCCTGGGGTGCTCTCTGGAGTGCAGACACTGCCTGGGGTGCTCTCTGAAGAGCAGACACCCCCCACTGTGGTGCTGTCTGGAGTGCAGATACCCCCTGGGGCACTCTCTGAAGAACAGACACCCTCCTGGGGTGCTCTCTGGCATCACCATGATCAAAACACATGGCTCCGAGAGGATTAAAGGGAGTAAGGCCTGTTGCCAGCCACAAACAAAGCACAAGACAAGGCTGAAAGCTCTAGATGACTGTTCTTGTCTTACATCACCCCACACAAAAGCTATGTGGTATAATTAGTAATTTTGTAATTATGCACTAAGAATTTCATTGTGATGGGTCTTTGGTGCCTGAAGTCGGCCTGAGTGAGAGGCTGGGCGCCCTCACTGTGAAATGCAGGGCTGAGGAGCTATGCCCAAAGGCCCGATGATGTTGTGAATTCTGGAAATCTAGAAGAGACGTAGGCTGTGACACTTTGTCATCTGAAATGCAGACTCCATCCCTCTCCTAAATTTAATGTAAGAGAATGTAGCTCGAACCCTGAGCTCAGTGTGCGGACCATGGTCAAACAGGCTCCCCACTTCCCAGCCCTCCTGTCCTTTATGACTCTTGATGAAAATATGTTTATTATTCAGCATAAATGCTTCTGATAGAAATTCAACCTGTAGCTAATTGTTGTTTCCCATTGGGACTTTTCTGGAAAATGGAGATTTATTACAATGAAATATCCACAACTAAAGACTACATTTCATGAAAGATAGCCCTTAGGTCATTATTTGCTGTGGCCTCTTTTTGTAGGAGCAGGGATTTATAGAGTCCGTTTTGTCTTTAAAGTAGCTCAGCAAGCATTAGGTACCTTTTCAGCAGGAGTAAAAGTAGCAGTGCCACGGCTTTCACGTAGGTTCTCAGGAATCTGAGGTTGATTGACAGCTCGTAGCCGTGGGGGTAGGGGGTCCAGGACCCAAGCTTTCTGGTTTGTCTGCATTCTAGACCATGTCTCCTGCAGGACAGAAAGAACTGGACCTTCCAGCGGGTTACATTCCCCAACAAGGAAAGGAACAATGATCTTAGGAAGATTCCGGGCTGTGTACAGGAAACCCAGGAGGGTAGAAGCAGGATGGGGACTGAAATGCTGACATGCTGAGTGGGGGGAGAGGCTTGCTGGATGTGAGGGTCAGATTGCACAATGGAAGGGGAGCAGACAGAAGCTCTGGCAAGTCTGTGCACACTGAATGTAGACAAGGTCATTCACAAATGACAGCATTGATCGGCGTATTCCGCTCAACTTGTACACAGGTGTTAGGTAAACGAATGTGCGCTTCTTCATAAATTACTAATTAATTTCACTGTTTTGCAGAATGTGCTCTGGAGATTCAAGTTCTCGCAGCTGAAGGGATCTTCAGATGATGGAAAAACGCGAGTGAAGCTGCTGTTTCAGAGTCTGGACACCAAACAAATTGAGATGAAGGTAGGAACCGCCATCCTGCACCCAAATGCGCATGCGTGAGGCGTAGTCGATCTACTGGTCAGAAAGTGCGCAGGTGAAGGAAGCAGGGCCATCCTGAAGCACGTGACCTCCTTAGCAATCCAATGGCTGATGTGTGAAAAAGCCTGTGCTTCCTGCAAGAGAGCTTATGTCCGAAATTGTGATGGATGAAACAAAGTATCTAACACTATTAAAACCAGAAGTTACTTTGTAATATTAGCAGGGAGTCAATACCTTAATATACCAGAAGTCAAAATTTAACAGCAGAGTTTTTCAAACTGTGTTAGATGTATGATGCTGGCTGTAGATTATGAGCGTAACGTCTTCAGGTGTCATCTTACTGTCAACAGGTATTGTTTTTCATACTTTTATATAAACGTGCCACCAACGAAGCAGCTCTAACATAAACTAAAGACAAAAGAAAGTATAAACTTAGTACATTGAAAAGTAAGTTCTAAAAAAAAAAGTGAGAACATGAAAACAAGGTTTGGAAACAGACTGGCAGTTCTGCACGTGTTTTGATCTGATGAAATTATCCCTCCCATTGTGGTTTGTTTTAACAAATGTAAGGGTCAACTTTTACCTCTCTTTGTTCAGCTCAATGAACAACTTTTTTTTAAGTACAATGGAAATGGTGCAGAATTGCTTGACATTCTTAGATCTGGGCAATTGGCCAAAGAGAGCAGAATGTGGACACCATCCAGGCGGAGGACACTGTCCAGATGGAGGACACTGTCCAGGCTGTGGGCTACTGAGATATAGGATGGACCCAGTAGAATGAGACTCAGGACACGGGGCTGGCTGGAGATTTCCCACTCTGTCATGCTGTCCTATGGAGTCCAAGGGAACGGACACCAGAGTAATCATCCTGAAGACACAGGAGAGGGAGAGAGAATGAATTGCATTTTAGGGTTTTTCTTCCATTGAGATGGCTGTTGTGGGTAAAATTGGTGCTTCCTCCGTCTGGTCTGTTCATTTCACTGGAGACCATGGCAGAGGAGGGGCACCGTCACCTTTCCCTGTATCAGCCTTGTCTCCTTCTCCAGCCCATCTGAGTCACCATGGTTCTGAGGATTTGGGTTCAGGGGACCCTGGTGGTCCCAATTGTCCCCAGGGCAGAAGCTTTGGGAATGGCTGACTGCTCACCTGGCATCTGGAGAATATTCAGACAGACTACACGTTTCATTGGGTTTAGAGGTTAGAAATTCTCTTTTATTGATCACTTAGCTGTTGGTCACCTGTGTTAACAAAAGGAGTGGCGATAGCAGATAGTAGAAGCCAGGCAGTTATGAAAAGTACCATCTTAATTGCTTTGAAACAGTGGTACTGTGTCATGGTACTGTTTGCTTGGTGGTACTGTTTAGTGGTACTGTGTCTGAGGATGTTTTTTATATTGCTAAGGTTCCATTCTACTTAGAGGAAGAGAGAAAGTCTGCAAAAGTTGTTGAGGCCCAGCAATGGTACAGAACTGAAAGGGCTAAATGTTTAAGCAATTTTGTGAGGATCTTTTTATGGGAAAAGATGCAAACTTTCAAGTACAGTGAATTGACTTCACCTCAAATGATTCTGAGACAGGAACATGCGTTAACATACCCAAATGCACCGACCTTCGTCCCGGCTCTGTCCTTTGCAGAGCCCATAATGCCATGGACACGAGCCGGAGGAAGGGCAGCTATGAGATGGTGCCTAAGGATATGGTCATGAACGTGAGCTGGGGGGCTTGGAAAAGGAGAGGCTGAAGTCTTCACTGGCTGCAGGATCGAGGGTCACTGCCAGGTCCTAGAGGCGTCTTGCAGGTGAAGGCTCAGAGCCCAGTGTGATGAAGGGAGGGTGCGGAGGACGTCCACCATGATGCCACATGTGACCCACAGCATAGACAGCATGTGTGTGTGTAACCACGAACACCCAGGGCCCAACCCACATAGCCAGCTTAGAAATGACCTTTCCCAACTGAAATCTGCATTTATTATAGTTTATGAGACAGAAAAAAGTCAGGCCCAAGCTTATCCAGACAGTTAATGGACAAATTAAATGAGGAGCCCACTGGAGTGAATTCTGAATTAAATTCAGAATGCAAATGTCCTGTTGGGTGTGAGCAATGTTATTTTTATAAATAGGAACACTTCCCTACCTTCATGTGTCCCATAACCAGAATCTCAGAGAAGATGGCATTCCTTCTCATTTTACTAGAGGTGACCATGAAGCAATGTTTCTTTCTGTAATACCCGATGTACTTGAAAATCTTTCTTTGATATTTACCCAGCGCACCATCTTAGTAATTAGTGCATATAGACTTTCTTGAGTTTCTCTTTGAATTGGGGGCACGGGGGCTCCAAGGCCTGTGCTGGACATCAATTATTTGAAAACCTGACATAGAGCTTAGGAATTTGGGCTACTATTATAGTGACTTCAGTGGCTGGAAAGTTGAGGTTGAGTTGTTTTTAAAGTAAAATGCTTTTTTTCTTTCATTTCCCCTCTTAAAAGAATAGGGTGGATGGGAAGCAAACATAATAAATGAAGGATTTAGGTTCACGCAATTCTGTTCAGTTGACTGTGCGTTGTTTGTGTGACTTGTAGTTAGGTTATGAGGATTCAGCTCCGGCCGCACCCTCCCCAACCCCTCACCCTTTCTGCTGTGTCCCAGCCCTGCTTCTGTGTGTATTGCTTGGATTTTAAGTTTCTTATGATTTCACCTCTGCCTGAGACTCAGCCTCCAGATGGTGGGTTTATCTTAGCATTTATCTCCAGCACAAGGTTGAGTACACATGTGCATTAAATGAATGTAATTTTAGTGAATAAATGAACAAAGAAAGAGTGTATTAGCACAGAAAGAATGCCAAGAGCACTCATGGAGGTTTTACCAGTTTCTCAGGAAAAGATTCTTCCTGTCCTCACTAGAACACAATGCTTGCCACTGTGCTCATGTGTTTCTGAGGTCCTCGGAGAAGTTTTCCTGAAACAAAGGTGGTTCAAGGAGCCAAGGACAGCTGAAAGGAGGATGAGTTTGCCTTTGGGAGAAAGGATGGCATACATTTTCACTCTGTAATGACCTGAGAGGGTCCCTCTGTCATCGGGGAGTCAGCCACGTGGTCAGACACAGAGAGGAAGAGCATGGGTGCCTGTGTTTAAGAGTCTGGGGCTGACAGAGGGAAGGTAGCTGCTGTGTTGGTGAAGTGGGAGCTTGGCCCCTGTCCTCTGCAGAGACAAAGCCCCTTCATTCTTTCCTGATGCTGCTGAGTTGTTCATAGTGAAAATCTCTTTCAGGAAGCCAGAAGGGGCAGAGAGGGATGGGCAAACCAAGCCAAGTGTTATAAACAGGGGATTTCAGGAAACCGGCAGTGCGGAGTGCTGTCCTCTGCAGAAGGATGTGACAGGAGGAGTGGAAGCAGTAGATGCCTGTGAAGCACAATGTCACTTTCCAAGTATATCTGTAGCATCATATAAAGTTGGCTCCCTAGCAAGCCTGGGCAAAAACAAAGCTTAGCTTTTTCCTTACTTTTTCCTTTTATCCTTAGTGAGCATTATAGCAAGCTGGTACCTTGATCCATCCCAGAATGGCAGGTGACTTTCTTTAGCTGTGTGGACATGGCTCTCTGCTGTGGTGTTGAGTCTGTCTGTAGAATTAAAATCACAGTGTTCTAACTAACAGAAACTTACAGTTTAGTTGAATTGCTAGCAGTGGCAAGAGCAAGTTTGCCTCCTTCCATCTGATCAGGAAGATGTTGGAATGATGAACTGAGATTAAAGATTGAACTGCTCGCCCTGTCCCATGCAGAGAAGCGGCTGACCTGGGCAGGGCATCCTCTGCTGCACCTCTGGTCTCTGCATCCTGAGTGAGCTTCCCGGTATCAGGACAGTATGGGGTAGAGACTTCTGGAGACGCCCCAGGAGTCTCAGCTACCAATTCCCCTGAGAGCAGAGAAGTTAGAGCCCAAAGAAGAAATATCTGTGTCCTCAGAAACAAAGGCAGTGGGTCCTGGGCTGCTCATCCTGCAGGGGAGCCAGGTGGACAGGGGACTGACCAGGTAGTGGAGCTGCAGTTCCAGTGCAGCTCTCAGCACATGTTCACTGCCCAGCCTCGAACTTGCCCCAGCAGAAACTGTACAGGTTAATATGGTTTCCCTAGGTGGTTCTCAAGACATATGGACTTGGTACCAGGTTCAGCTCCCTGAGGCTCTGCCTGTCTCTGTCTCTCATGCACAGCTCCCTCTGCCCTTCTAGTTTTTATTTCTTTTTTCTTTTATTATTCATATGTGCATACAAGGCTTGGGTCATTTCTCCCCCCTTCCCCCACCCCCTCCCTTACCACCCACTCCGTCCCCTCCCTCTCCCCCCACCCCCTCGATACCCAGCAAAAACTATTTTGCCCTTATTTCTAATTTTGTTGTAGAGAGAGTATAAGCAATAACAGGAAGGAACAAGGGTTTTTGCTGGTTGAGATAAGGGTAGCTATACAGGGCATTGACTCACATTGATTTCCTGTGCATATGTGTTACCTTCTAGGTTAATTCTTTTTGATCTCACCTTTTCTCTAGTTCCTGGTCCCCTTCTCCTATTGGCCTCAGTTGCTTTTAAGGTATCTGCTTTAGTTTCTCTGCGTTAAGGGCAACAAATGCTAGCTAGTTTTTTAGGTGTCTTACCTATCCTCACCCTCCCTTGTGTGCTCTCGCTTTTATCATGTGCTCAAGTCCAATCCCTTGTTGTGTTTGCCCTTGATCTAATGTCCACATATGAGGGAGAACATACGATTTTTGGTCTTTTGGGCCAGGCTAACCTCACTCAGAATGATGTTCCCCAATTCCATCCATTTCCCAGCGAATGATAACATTTCTTTCTTCTTCATGGCTGCATAAAATTCCATTGTGTATAGATACCACATTTTCTTAATCCATTCGTCAGTGGGGCATCTTGGCTGTTTCCATAACTTGGCTATTGTGAATAGTGCCGCAATAAACATGGTGTGCAGGTGCCTCTGGAGTAAC